CCATGGGCCTTTGTAATTTTCCAAGCAGTAAGGATCCTAAGTCATTCAAATTAAAACCTGTAGTGGATCAGCTGTTGTATCAACAGACTTAGCATTTAGATCAACCTTGAATGGAACAGAGACACATAACATGACATGGAGGCTCTGGTCAGAATGATCTCTGGGTCCTAGCTGATATGAATGATATATTAATGTCATTGTTAGAGTCCTACTTGATTTCACCTGCTTGAAATGAACAGGCACAAATTTCTCCACAAAAAAAGCATGGCATTTTGTCCACAAAAAGTGCCTTTTTCACATAATATTATGGTGAAGAGTTAATAAATAACATAATTGAATGTATGGAATGTAATGTAATTGTTATTTCATCAGGGGACTCAGTGTGCATGAATGTGAATTTAACTATTTTTTCAGATGTTAATGCTACATTACTTTTTAAAAAGGATCTTCAACAACTTTTACTATTTGAAATTTTAATCCATTTTACATACAACTTGTACCAGTACATAATGATTTGATTTCATTGTTATCAGTTTTCAATGAGTATATCTAGTACTTCATGTAAAAAGATGTGAAGCCAATATTCAGTATATCATTGCACACATTACATTGCAGTATAATTGCATTGTGCTGCAAAATCTTCTCTTGACCAGTTGATGATCTGATTTTTCCATAAATTAACATTTGTTTAAAATACCAAATAATCCGTATAGGTTTTATTCCAAAAAAAAAAAATACCTTGGGCAAAGGGCAGTTTTTGTTAAGGTGACCCCTTAGTTAGGCTAAATTGCTGATAAGGATTATTTGTATTATTTACAGTATATGTACAGTGTTCTGGGCATTGTTGTATAAAAGGCCATTTACACTCCATGTGAGGAGAGCTAGATCCATAGAGTCTCATTAAAAGTTCAAGATCTTTTTAAAACTATGAGAATAACCTAAAGTGACTAAAAGTTTAAACAACTCTGACTAAACCAGGTATGTATGTCACAGAAATAGTGTGGGATAATGCAGTGAGTAAAAGTATAATTACTGGGTATATAATAATATCCATTAATAAAGGAAATGATATTTTGGTGTTGGTGCCCATTTATTAATCTATCCATCTGTCTGGATTAAGCAAATTGTGTGTGAATTGTCACAAAATTCTATTGAAGGTTTCTAGGACTACCTCCTAGGTATGTAAATATGGTAGAGCATCCTCTTGTTATTTGTGGGTGATATCTAGATCTAGAATTTCTTGTTATTTGGGGCTGATATCTATATTTCTAATTTGGGATCTTTTGCTAATTAGATTTGGGTGATATGTAGATCTGGAACCTCTTGTTATTTTGGATAGATATCTAGATCTGTGACTTTTTAAAATTTGATTTGGGGTGGTATTTAGATCTAGGACCTGATATTTAGATCTGGAACATCTTGTTAATTAGATTTTGGGTGATATCTAGATCTAGAACCTTTTGGAAATTGTATTCATGGTGATATCTAGATTGACCCAAGGGTGTGGGACCTCAAGGTTAGAAATTATATTTGTGTTGATATCTAGATTTGTGGAACTCTTGTTAATTAGATTTGTGGTGATATCTAGATCGTGTCCGGTCCATATCTTTCTTATTGATAAAATCTCCAAGGGTGTGTCATAACCTTGACCCAAGGTCATTTGGGGAAGTTCAAGGTTATTAATTAGTCCTGATTGGACAGTTCTAGTTAATTTGGGATCTGGAACATCTTGTTAATTAGATTTTGGGTGATATCTAGATCTAGAACCTTTTGGAAATTGTATTCATGGTGATATCTAGATTTGGGACCTCTTAGAAATTATATTTGTGTTGATATCTAGATTTGGGAACTCTTGTTAATTAGATTTGTGGTGATATCTAGATCTGGAATCTCTTATTAATTAGATTTGGGGTGATATCTAGATCTAGAACCTCTTGTTAATTAGATTTGGGGTGATATCTAGACCAGGGCCCCTTGTTAATGATATTTGGTTTGAAATCTAGGTTTGGTGAGGGATCTTTTAAGGAACACTTGATCTGGATATGGAACCTTTTGACAATGTGTATATATGTAGGGCAAGGTCTGAACTAGGGTCCTCTTTATAGGATAATTGAAGACATTTTGATCCAGTTAAGGTGATTATATTTTGGTCAGGAATTCCAGATGAGGAAAGAGAAGGATGACTTAGCATAAACAGAGGTGTGCAGGCGGAGATTATAACCCAAGATTTTCCTTACTGCATTCCAGGTTTTATAATAAATTCTGCTTTTATAACATTCAAAGTCTTTGAATTAACACACCTGTAAACTGTAATAAAGGGACCACAAGCTGAAGATTTGACAGTTTAAAAAAGTGAGAAGTCATCCTTGTTATTTAGCACATTAAACTATGTATCTTTTTAACAAGTACAGATTAAAAAGGAAAAAAATGGGGGAAAAAAAGGGGGGGGACCATGCACCTAGTGTGTGTGACGATTTTTGCTACTAAAATGTTCTATTATCAATACACATATAACCTTGTTTACAGTATGATTAATATGTACTCTTGTTTGTAAATATCAGCCACTTCTGATTTGCTAATTGTTTCTTGAAACAGACTTAAAATGAGATAAATTTGTATGACGATTGTACCAATATTTTAATTGTACTGACTTAATAATTGTGTATAGAAAAGGGTAGCTAAATCGTCATTATATTTGACATGTACTACTCGACGGAGAGACGATCAGCTGATAAGGTATGTGATGACCTTGCTCGGGTGATTTACAAATGTTCCCACTACTTAATCCACAGCTTGACCTATATATTACCTTAGACATATGCCACCTGATTTGGCTTAGGACAGTTGATTACAATATCGTTAGTCAGGTAATTAGTTTCTGATAGTCAGATACACCACTGCACTTATTCTGCATTTTATTGTATAAATTGTTTAATTTCTGAGACTTCTGGCTCTTGGGTTCTATCAAAAATTATTTGGGCTTCTAGGACTTTTGTTTATATTGGTGTGTTCAAGTAATGATTGCAATTAGATGTTCATTTATTTCTCAATCTTGAGCTTATGTAAATATGAGAGATGTGTTGCAATGATGTCTGACTAAATGCTAAATTTTAAGCATATCATTTGTTGATTTTTATTTCATTTTCATAATGTCATGTCATTTTTATGTCTAATTTTTGACAGTTTTATTTTCCTTTTATCAACTTTCCCAATGAATTTACACCTGCTTTGATATTTTGGTGTCTAAATGATATGATTAGTTAAGAGAATGAACTTCAAATCTGGCAATGAATGGAACATGATGTAAATATGAATGTTTTTTAAAAACCTGCCCCTAATTGTCACGTACCTAAGAGGTGCTCTAAAGAAGATAGTGGGTTAACCGTCATTTAAAGGTCTGTTTATTTAAATTTATTTTAGGACTTAGAATGACTATTAATGTAGATATCAAAGGAAGATATCAGATTCTGTTTATTCTTAACATAACCTTGAGTATTTATATCCACAAAGAGTACATAATATTTCTTTATGATCATCTTTATGTATCTTCATGATTGTGTTTTAATTCCGAATCTTGAGTTGTGTTTCATTTGTAAAAAAAACAATAATCTTTTTTTTTAATTTAAAAAAAAAGCACAGGATGATGTATGAAGGTCCATCTACAAAAGTTGTATCTTAGCCTTTGAAAAGTGGCGTGAAATAAGAAATGACACACCACCTCTCTAACACTCCCCCCCCCCCCCAATATTCTGAGGGATTCTCAAGGGCTAATATGAGTACCTGGAGTATATGGGGACCTGAGTATTCAACTGTCAAATTGTTTTATATTCTTTTAGAGAAATCTGCATATGATGAATACAAAATGACATAGAAAATAAATAGAAGGGGGCTTATTATTGAACTTTACAAATGACTTCTTTGAAGGGTCATTGCCATCCTATCTTTGCAATCTGATATCAATATCTTAAATCTTATCATATCAGACTGTTTTCACTGCAGAAACTCTGAAACCTGTCAGATTTCCAGGAAATTAACTTTTCTTTGGTGCGCTTTGTGATGAATCGTTCCAGGATTGCCTGTTTGTTATTTTTAAGTTTTTTTCGCAATCAATTTCCAGAACAACAGATTGTTGCTGTTTCTCTGTGTGTTTGTATAAGGCTTCGTCCTGTCTTGTCTCGGTGGGACATCTTGAGAGAGCCTGGAGAAGGGTCTGATGACCTTACAGTACCCTGAGGTCCCTGAACTCTCCTAGCTTTTTTCCTGTCTGGGAAAGTGTATGAACTTCTTGATTTTATCTTTGCACTTTTTGCATGAAGAACTTGGTCTGCCATATGACTGGTCTAGATGACATACACAAAGTCTTAATTCCAAATGTCTCCAGCTATCATTAACATTTTCTATTTCTTGGTTAGAAATGCTTGGTCTTGCATGATTACTTCATGTAGATTTAAATTTCTATTGCAAATTTCATGTTTGTTCTTTTTATGACCCCTAAAAATTGTTTGACAAGAATATTATTGATTGTTCTATGGAGGGCAATGTACTCTATGAAGAAAATTTACCAGTATTTAACATGTCAATATAATATGGACACTTTAACGTCAGAAATGTAAAGGAGGTATAAATCTAAATCTGAATATTTTATATGGCAGAAAATGAATGTGAAACCTGATTTTCTGGACTAGTGCACTTGTCAGGAACACTTGATCTGACCTAAATCTTTCTCACCTGTGTTTATATAAAGAGATTTATTTATTCTCTGTCTAAACCATTATGGTATCTTCTTTACATCTATTATAAGGTAATACTTTACTCCATTATGTTTGATAAGAATAATTTAACAACCAAAAGCATCTGTTATTTTTGGTCTAAATTGGTGAAATTTTATGTTTATTTTATGTCACAATTAGGGAAATGGAATTGAAATTTGTAGATTTACCTTGACATTTACTTTATGACCTTCATACTCTGTTTAACCTTGACCTTTGATTTATTGACAGGTCAGTACCACAAAGACCATGAAAACATGGATTACTACTACCAGCTGGAGATTTGGAAAGGAAACATAAATGGCGTCCTCCGTCAGGCTCGCGAGAGAGAGGAACTCTCCGATTGGCTGGTTGCCATGGCACCCATGGGTTAGTATATCATTGAATTGAACTTGTTTAACACATTTATTCGAGATATTCTTGAAATACTGTAACAGTTTTATCAATGCACTCCTAGGTCTTTTTTCAATTATCAGGATATAAGCCCCCTCCCCCTGTAAGGAAGAAGATTTAGAATTGTATCGAAAGTGCACCATAATTTGAAAACGTGAAATGAAAGTCAGTTATTGGGTAACTTGTACATAAAGTATTCCTGAAAGTGAAAGATTTTTAGAACAACAATCATTATGTATTTCTGAAATTGAAAGTTACCTACAAAATTTGTTCTCCATGTGTAATCGCTAATTTTTCAATCTTATGCAGACTGAAGAAATACATTGAGCCAGAGTTTACATGATGCAATGATTTACAATGTTTCACAAGAACTTTTCTGAAAAATAAAATCTCTGTGTTGTCTAATATTGAAATTGACAACTTGGAGAACTAAGCACATGAAATGTTCAAAATGCATTATCTATCAATGAATTATGCCAAAGTAAATGGTTTCATAAAATACATTTGATGAATTATAGCTTTCCAGAGAAGAGCTATTGCTTAAGATTGTATAGAATATCTATAATGTAAAGGCACATGGTCTGTTGTTGAGAAGTTGTTAAAAAAAAATGAATAGGAAATTAAACTTGGCAGCCAGAAAGAAAGACTCTCTCATTGTGTTGCAGCATGGTGGTTTTTGCAAGCACTTAGAAATCCAACACAAAAGATCCAAAAAGATTTTGTGTTGGAATTTTCTCATGGGTGTTCCATTTCTCCCTGTTTAACACAGTTTTCTCATTGCAGCTGCCTTTGATACGTGGATGACAGTGTGTGAGGACTACGCCACCCAGCTAGAGCAGGAGGGGCAGTACCACAAGGCCGCCACCTATCTCCTGGCCTCCCACAAGGTCTACAGCGCCATCGACCTGTTCAAAAGACACCGCCTATTTAAGTAGGTGCAGGCCTGAGATCCCTGTATGTGTGACTTAATGTTAATAAACAGGTGCCCTTAAAGTTGTGAAGGTCATTCGAAGGAATGTTAAGAAATGCATGTAATAATTACATTGTATGTTGTTTTTAGGTATTTGATACAAGATAGTCTTAAGTGGTGCCAATAATGTATCATGGTTTGAAAGGTATAGAAATATGCCATGCTCATAACTTTGAGGCTTGCTAGTAATGGGACATACATTTGAATTTCATAAATATAAAAAATGTGTTGCGTATCTCATTTGCGTAAACTTTTCATGAACTTGGACAACATTTTCGCATTGATTTTACCACCATTTGTTATCCTTCACAAACTCAGAATGGGGGTGGAGTATAATACAATGTGCTTTAATCATTAAATATCATGAAAAATTAACAATGCATATGATGTTTTTCATTAATTTAAAGGAGTTTTTCAATCAATTGTAGACCTTTTTTATATTCACTATAACCTTGATCTGTGTTGTTGCTTATGACCAGAGAATGCCTGTCAATTTCTATTGTGTAAGGAAGATCTGTCAGGGGTTTGACCTTTAGCATGCTTTGGGGGAAATTGAACACTTTTGGAAAACAAATTAGGTAGATTGTCCCCTTTTTTGAGTATTAATTGGTGGGAGTGGGACTTGACAGAATGATGGTTATTTTTTATGACTGGCACGTTTCTAAGTGCGGTCTCTCACATATAGGTCATGGACCTCTGGGTAGTGGTAATAGTTATAAATGTTGACAGCTTTATTCAATAACTTTTGAGCTCCAAGGAATAAAGCAATGATTAGGATTTCTTTTACTTAACTTCTCCTTGAGCTCTTTATAAATATACTTACTCAGGCTCCGACATGAGGACCAGATATACAAGTAAAATAAATATCTGACCAAGCATTGGTAGCTTTATGTGTTTCCTATAGCTGCCACTTTGGGAGTTGGTTTACATCAATTTTATCCATAGATGTAGATTTTGAGTGTAAATTCTCCTTATTTTCAGACTTTTATGAGTATTATTATTGAGATGAATGACTTAAAACTCTTGTATAAAGGTTAACATGCTGTATAATGTTAAAGTATCATTCTCAGGGACGGTTATGTGTGAGGTCATTATCAAAAATGTTACCCAAAGAAGAAAAGTGAAGACATCTTTCTAGCTAGAAGTCCAAGCCCATCTAATACAGTATACTATACCTGTGTTTAGTTATTTGAACTGCTGTACAAGTTAAAAAAATATGAATTGTATTTCCAGTTGTTAGTTGTAAAAAATTATATCTGGGTTACTATGGCATAAAATATTTAATCTATTTACTGGAATGTTATAAATTGATTTTCATGCCCCTGTAATTGAAAATTCAAAGGCATATACAGAATTTTTGGATTGTTCATCCATCTGTTTGGCTGCAAAAATTTTTACTTTCTCAGTAATTTTGTAATGGTTGGTGCTAGAGCTTTAATATATCACAAGTTTATTTCTTGTGACAGGATCAAAATACTGTGAAATCACAAATTTTTGTGGGAGTTTAATTTTTGCTGTTTTTGAGGTATAAATAGACCCACTAATTCATGTCCACCATGAAATGTAAAATGTTACATTCATAACTACTAAGAAATTCATCCACGAATTCAAATCCTCCTGAACCAAGAGTTTTTTCTCCAACCACGAAAATTTGACCCCACCAAAATATGTGATTTTACAGTATTTGACCTCTTAACTTATAGTGCCACCTACTTTAAATTTATAGAATTTTTACCAAACTTTAATCTTTGCCACAACTTTTAAATCAAAAAAAAAAGGAGCAAGCAATGTATTTTCATTTGAATTTCATGAGACCAGACCTTTCTTAAGGTACCATCATTATTTACCTTTTGATCTTGACCCTGGAGTTTGACCTACTTTTAAAAAAAATTAACCTTTGTTTTTCTGAACGACTGGAGCTAGGGCTTTAATATGTCACACATACCAGTACATTTTTTGTGAAAACAACTTATTTAGGTTTCAATATTTTTTACCTCCTGACCTTCTTTCTTGATTGATTTCTCCACATTTTTCAAACTGCCATCTCAAAATATTACTTACATATTCTTGTACTATTTCCACAACAAAACTTTCCTTAAGACCATTGTAAATAGCCCTCTTGGACCTGAAATGGAAATCATTGAAATTTTTGCATACACTGTCATTTTGGATGTCAAGATAATTCGGTCATATGGGCTTCATGCTGATATTGAATAAAAGGGGTCAAAGGAATATTTTGAAATTGAGCTTTTGAGGTAAGGATGTGGAGAAAATAATCATAAAATGAGTGAAACTTTTTAAGTGCAATAGATATACAATTTTCTAAGGATGGCACTGTAGCTCTCTGGTCATCCCATTTTTTTCAGACCAGTGAGCTACAGATCTGCAGCTATAGAGTTTGAGTGACTTCCATTTGAGAAATTTAACTTCTGCATTAAGGTGATCCCCTTTGTAAAATAGCTTGAAAACCCAAAAAGCATACTTGTTGATAATTAATTTAAATAGAATGTTCAGTTTGGAATTTCCCCTGTAAGAAATAAACAATAGTGTCTATTTAAGCTGTAAAAAGTTTCATATCCTTGAAAAAAGTAAAGTGCACTCTGTCAAAATAATTTGAAGATTTCCTTTTGTATTGATTAAGTGCTGACGTAGGAACCAACGTCATGATGCATTGACTGTTTAGTCAAAGAAACATTGTCTTGAACAAGCTTACATTGACATTCTGTCATAGCATGGCATTTTATTGGTCTTCTAATGAGTTTGTAGAACACTTTGACCATTAATTTTAATGAAGAAGAAAAATGAAAATTGTTTTTTGTGGGAAATTGCATACTACTGTAGATCACTTAATTTTCGTGACACCTTATTTTCGCGAGATAGTCATTGACTCTTTATCAGCGAGACAAAATATTCACGAATTGTGTTTGTTGCTCTATATAATCTTAAGGAATTCTATTATACGCGAGAAAAATTTTGACCCTCTCGCGTAATTGTTTTTTGTGAATAAAAAGTGATTTACAGTATATATTGTGTCAAATAGGCCCCCTAATATGTTGTTCAGAGGTTTTTTTTTTTGTTTCAAAGAGATGTAAAGCCTTAGAAATATGGGATATATTCAATAAAACATTTTTGTTTTAAAAAAAATGATGTAAGAATAAAAAGTAAACCATGCAAGATAAACTTTCCCATCAGTGTATGTTACCTGTGCACAAGGAAACCCAAAAATCTCTAATACAATTAAATTAAGTATAAATTACTCTCTTTAATATAAATTTGATAAACTTGGAGAGGGAATTTCATAAATTTCTTCCGATAAATATAACATTGTATTTCAAGAAAGTACCAGTAACATTTGAACATGCCAGGAATGGATAATAATGCCATGTTCTTTGATAGGATTAATGGATGTTTAATGTTTTGTTTTCACAAATGTTTGTTATATTTGTTTGTTTGTTATAAAAATTCTCTTTATTACCATATAGATATTCTGGTTAATCTCATGTGTACAAGTGTTTTTATTTAATTTTAATTCACAATATATGAGAGAAAAGCAATGCAACTGTTTGCAAATTGTTTGTTTAGCTGACCTTGTATTTATTTTAGAATTTTTAAACTGATTGTTCTTTCAAAAAATTAACAGGTAAATGATATCCTCAGGGAAAAATCCGGAGAATTCAAATCCTGGAGCAGGAAACTAGATCATGCATTTACCTGTATTTTGTTGGCTTAGCCCAGTTTTAATTCCAATTAAAAGTCATGCATCTATGAATATAGAGCAAACATCAATAAATTACAGGTGCCAACAAATCTGGGTTATTAAGGCATCATTATGCACAAAAAACTCATGTTAGGGAAGATTAAGGACCATAGTATACAAACAGCAAATTTTCTTTGATCATAAAGGTTGATTTGACGGAACTTCCCTCTGTGAAATTGGTTCCTTAATTCTGTTTTATAATTCATTGTGAGTCAGAAATTCAGTTTATAAATATGACATATATCTCTTGATCTCTTTAACAAAAAATAATCGGGCATGTGAAACCCAGAAAATACGAAATTTTATGATTTTCCTTACATCAAAAACCTTTATATGGTGTTAGTTAATCATACATCAACAGATCACACTGACATTTATTGTGCATATTGATGCAAGTAAATCTTTTTTATTTATTTATGCATCCTCATTGCCTGGGGTTTGAGTGCCGATTTTTCAGATAACATTTGAAGCCCTGTTTCCCTTTGATTGCTCGGTTGGAGATTGACTAATGACATTTTTTCTTTTTTTTTCAGAGAAGCCATTGCTCTGGCCAAGGTCCGACTGTCACCTATCGACCCAGTTTTAGAAGATCTATACACACTGTGGGCGCACCAACTTACAAAAGACGGAAATTTCGAGCAAGCGGCTAAATGGTTGGTTCTGTTCAAAAGAATTCAGATCTAGGAATAGAGCGCCACTGAGAAGAAATACTTTTGTTCAAAATAAACTTTGTTGCTTTTTATAAGAAAATTTAATTTAATTATTCAATAACTGTCTATGGTTTAAACAAAATTGAATTATAGTGAACCAAATTAAGTTCATTTCTTGAAAATCTCTTCAGAATTACGCAATCTTTTGCTGAACTTTTGCAATTAATTTTATTTTTCTTTTAGCCACCTTGCCATGCAGCAGGTTCAGAATGCTGCGGTTTTGTTGGCCAGAAGATACAACTGCACCGCCAGCCTTCATACTGCTGCCCGAATTTCCATGATTGCCAACGAAAAGCAGTCAGGGATGGCATATGCCCATAAACTGCTGCAACAGTTCTTGTTAAAGTGGGAATGGAGTCAAGCCTACACATATCTGAAAGAGCAAAAAGCATTTCAGGTGAGACATCAACTGTCAAAAGAAATTGTTTTAAGGTTTTTAAATTGATTGATTTAGGCATAAGACATGCATGAGAATCCATTTAACTGTCAATTCTGTGTAGATATCAGGAAATAAACCTTCAGACCCTGAATGTGTCAGAGAGAGATGAGGCCTGGAAGACATTATTTTCATTATGTACATCTTATTGAACTTTTAAAATTTAGTCAAACCTCATTATCATGAATCTGATGGGGCTAGTAAAAAAAACTTCCAAGAAATCCAAGGGTTCAAGATAAGTAGAATTAATTACTCAGAGAAAAAACTGAGACTTATTTATAGCCATGGTATTCAATATATTGATATTTTGAGATACCTTAGTTAAAATGTATATTTCTGAGTAAAATATTTCTGTAGCTCTTTTATCTTTATATTATGATATCTCTGTCTTAAGTGCGTTAATTATTGAACATTTAATCTCATTTTTAACTCTGTAAATTATTAAATAATTTTATTTGTAAATTGGGAAAATTTAAAAATAATGACGTAAGGGATGAAGTAAAATCAATAATGGAAGCAAATACGCATGATGATCAAGGACAAAAATATTCAAATATCTAGTAGGTAATATTAAGGAATTTCTTAGATTCTAAGTGCTATTGGAATGGTTTTCACCTAATTGTTTCCAAAGTGATTGTTCTTGTTTGACATGTATCTTGTTATTAAAACCTCACCAAAGGTTATTTACACAAGGTCAAGGTTACAGAGAGAAAAAAGCCCGAATTAGATACTAAACGTTAACTTTTTGTTCTTAATAATGATTTGTTGTCACTAGCAGAAAATCCCAATCCCATTGTCTCTGTTTCTATGAATCTTCATTTGTTTCCTCCTACTTTTAATGGATTTTCCTGATTTTGATTTCTTCAAATTTTACATCACAGACAATCTCATGAGACTATATTGTAAAGCTGTAGCCTTTCAGAGACCATTATGCTATAAAGTTACAGTTACGATCTGTAGAGGTCTGAAGTGTCCAGGCTAAGAGCTCTCTATTGTCTGAGACAGATAGAGAAGACAGTGGGATTTGCATTGTGTGCTTTATATTAATGCTTCAGAGATTATTCTGCAGTTTGTTCAATCAATCCAGACAGAAAAAGATATTGCATCTTTAATTGATCAATCTATTCATGTCCCAGTTTCCTGAGTGTCTCTTGTAGCTTTTGCCTTTACATCCTGCTTTGTTTGTCTGTTTGTAAAAATGTGGCTTCTTTTCAGTAAACTACCAAGTTACTGACAAAGATTTTAACATTTGACATGCATTAAATTAAATTGTAAGGAAAAAGCCTATACTTTTTTTCAAAGAGTAGGGATAATATATCTACAGATATCACTATACTTTTAGTGAAGTGGATATCCTTGAACCTTTAGGATTTTATAGGACTCAAGTGCCTATCATTCTAGTACCTGGTATGTAACAGTAGAGATGTACCATTCCACAGCTTTATAAAAAGTCCATGGCTTATTAGCAATTCAACTGGAATATAAAATATGTCTTAGTCAGATAACCTTTCTTTCATATTACGGTAATTTTATTATTTACAGGCTACGATAATATCTTGATCTATGCCTTAGCTTAGTGTGTCAAACTAGTCAGTGTTGTCATCTGAGTCAGTACAGTGAGATCAAGTTCACCCTCATTCTGTGTAGGCTTGGGATAATAATGTTATTTTGCTAAGATTATCTGCACATCCATGTATCTTTGCTTTATTCATGGGAAGCAGAATTATTTGAGTATGTTTTTTTTTTTAAAAACTTTTGAATTATTAAGCCAAGTTTGTGCATCCCTAACTATAAGCTGCAAACAGGGGAGATAAAAAGATAATGGTTATTTGATATTAGAGAATAACTGTGTAATTTGGGATAAAAAAATTAATCCTTCCTTCTGTTTAATAGCAGTAATATAGCATAGGTCATTGACTCGTCTCTGTAATTTACTCTTTTCTTTGGTTTTTTTTCCAATAGGCATTAATTGCAGTCAGTGGTATGCATGAATTGGTTGCCAAGGCAATCCAAAACCATCATCCAGAAATCCTAAACATAGAAAAAGACAAATTCTCAAACTGGCAGACTGACTCAAAACTCTTCTTACCAGGTATAGAAAGGAATGATAAATCAATAGGGAATATATAACAGGAATGATTTCATTATATTTCACTGAAGATTGATTTGAAGTTCTGAGTGACATTTATAAAACTGATACTGATGTATGATATATCAAAGAGAACTAATGCCATCAATATTATAAAAACGAGTTTAATGATCTCTAGCTCTTTTATGAAATTGTTTTAAATGAAGTTCAAAAAGAAGATGTTTTGTTAGACACGTCATATATGTACTTTTACCAATTTACATCTTAAAGGAATAAAAAAAAGTGTATTTAATGCAAGTAGAAGCAGAATCTGTAGGAATTAAAATGCATCATTAACTAATAAACAAGTAAACAAACAAAATCCATATGGATATAGGCTTTTTAACACAAGTATGAATGATGCGACCCTTTTGTATATTTCAGATTTTATCCTTGACAATAAAGACAGGGACACTTTGTCACCATGGAAACCCTGGTTAACCGATGGGTTGACTTTCCCACATTATACCTTACGAGTGTTTTACAGTAATCTGGGAATCGTCATGGATACGGAGAGTCTGGAAGAAATGTACAAATCCCTGAGTATTCTACAGGCTGGCAAGCAGAGCCAGGAAGATATCCTACAGGTATGTCTAATTAATATCCTGCAGGTGAAAAATAACCTGGAACAGGTCCTAAAGGGTTGCTTATTTGTACATAGCATTTAGGCTAAAACATTTTAGCCTATAATTCTCTCAACCATTTATTAATGTGGTAGTTATTTGATTTTCTTTTTGATTAAACAGAGTTCAGTTTGGATTTCCATTTAGAATCATAGAAAAACATTAGAGGACTAAGATAATTCAACCAAGGGCACAATTGTGCTAGTTTTATCAATATCCAACATGCAAAGGAAATGGTAAGGTAGATGTTTTGCAGATAATACTAAAATAGGAAATCGGGCTCTGGGGCTAGGTCAGACAGTTTTGTGGAGTGTTTTATCAAAGGGTGTTTTAAGGAGAATTCCTTTAAAGATCAGCTTTTTTTTCAAAAAAGTTGTCTAAATGATGTACCACACACCATGAAAATTTGATTTGTCAAGCAATATAGATCAAAGATTGAAAAAAAATGGTCAGATTAACTTTTATCCCAGTTAAAAGTTTTCATAGATAACCCAATTCCTTAATATACAATTTGAGATACATTTGAATTTTTTTTTGGTTTATTTTCAATAACTTGATGAAATTGAGATTATAAAACTAAATCCAGTTGCCAATAAACTTATAGTCAAAATATTGTTTTTTACGTATGAAAATTGGAATTCCTCAAGATAAAAGCAAATTTATTCAATCATCCATAAATAATCACAGGAATTAAAATGAGTAGGTGATATTGTAATTATGATAAGGCTGTTTGAATTTTGTTTACATAAGGGATTACCCATAAAAAACATTATTATCCTGTGTGTCATCAATTCCTCTAATCCCTTTGTTTTTCCCGTCCAATGAAAGTTGCAGATGAGGGATTTAAGTGACTGTCACAAAAAATGATTCTAGATGTGATAGCCAACATTTTTCTGAGATGGCTTATACATGTGTTATGATTAAGGTGAATGGCAGGGATGTCATCCTTAGGTTAAGTAACCAGATTATATAAAGATGATGTTGATGTTTCTTCTCAGTCATATAACAGGTTAGAATACATTGTAGACACAGTTGTCAAACTTACTTATTGCTTTGACACATTGACACAATTGTAGAATATATACAATCGTCATTCTACCGTATTGTTTTGACACATAAGATTAATATATAGCTTTGAATTTATGTTGACTTTCTTGAACTGGTTAGTTCACCTCATATAAAGAGGGTTGATTGAGAAGTTAAAATAGTCAGGCTTTTTATTCCCCTCTTTGTGTTGTTAATCTGATGTTCTGAAATAAAGCTAAGGTTATATATGATATAATTAACAAGGTTTATAACATATAAGTATTAGTCCTTCTCAATAGTCTTTTTGTTTCCATATATATGGGGTTTTTAGTTTGGATAGAAGTCTTTCGTCAGTGTGAGGGATCCTATACTCTCTCACACATGTACCTGCCCATCTCACCATTTGGAGATCGAATCCAGATCACATTTTGTGAGAAGTGGACTGACCACTACTCCGCTCTTTGTATTTAATCTTAAGGTTCATTGATCCTTAGGTAAGAAAGATAACTCTGTTACTGGGATAAATGCTTATTTTTTCTTTGAATACCTTTATCAAGTTAAAATGGCATATATGTCAAAAATTATTCCTTATAAGATATGCTGAGATTATGTCCTTTTTTTATTAAAAAAAAAATTAGATTTTGTGAGGAAATTGATAAGCCCTAAGCAAAAATGTATGAGTGATGAAGAACCATAAACAATATTGGATGAGTCGAATGATCTGTTGTTGTTATAGTTCTGTATAAATACTGACTTATGTGTTGTTGCTGTTGTTTTAGTTGTATGTTGTTGTTGTTAAATTTTTTATATAAACTGATGTCTATGTTGTTGTTGTTTTAGTTGTGTATGTATACTGATGTCTATGTTGTTGTTGTTTTAGTTGTTGATACAGATCAGTGTAGACCTGGTCTTGTGTATACTGATGTCTTTGTTGTTGTTGTTTTAGTTGTGTATGTATACTGATGTCTATGTTGTTGTTGTTTTAGTTGTGTATGTATACTGATGTCTATGTTGTTGTTGTTGTAGTTGTTGATCCAGATCAGCGTTGACCTGGTCCTGTGTATGCTGTCCTTCCTGATGTCGGAGACACCCACCGCCATCTCCCATCTTATCCACGCCATCAGCAGCCTACAAGAAGCTGGACATTACGTCGTCATGGAAACAGTCATCAGATTGTTTCTTCCTCTCGGTAATAAAGCTTATAATCAAAGAGATATTTTTAGTAAATGGTTGTATTTGGAAGTGTTTATCTTAATAGTAATCCATTAATTACAGCATCAGTATTAAGAGACAACAATATTTGTCAATACATGTATAATCAATAGACTTTATTTTACCTCATAATACATTGGACAGCTCTCGAATGTTAAAGGAATTGTTAAACTCACATTATCTTTAAGATACCATACAAGAATGTTTTAGGTAATAAAGTCTGAAATAGATCTGTTGTCATTTACAAGTGTTTTGGTGTTTTAGGACCAAAGTACATGTTGAAGCTACAGCAAGAAATCACAGCCATGAGAGTAGTCATCAGTATGGAGAACAAAAGTAATTATGACGGAGCTGCAAAAGTGCATACCATCAAACGCTACTTAACAGAGATTAAAGATGAAGACTCTGTGTCATGTGGAGGCTTGAGGTGTAGAGAGTTGGACTGCCTTAGGGCTTATTATTATTTGGCAATTCTTAACTCTCTTAATCAGCAGCAGGCTTCAGGCATACACAGAGGAGAGGAAAATGGTCAACAAATGACAGAAGAGGATACTAGTTCTGCTAAGTCAGAGATAACACCAGTAGATTCCAGTCAAACTGTGAAACAGGAGAATGGAGTCAAAAAAGCTGAGAGTGACAGTTCTGATGGAGTAGAAAATAATCAAGAGAAAATTGTGAATGAAACTGAAAAGGAAGAATCCAAAGCTTCTACATCATCAGACAAAGAAAATACTGCAAGTGATACAAGAGAACCTGCCACAGGTTCACAGAGTGATAAAGTCACAGACAGTGAGAGTGAGTCAAAGGGCATTCAGTCAGCTACTGGTGAACATAAGGAAACAAAAGAATCATCTACACATGATAGTAATGTTGATGTTAGGATAGAAAAAAATGAACCACAAAGTGGAGAAGTGGTGGAGTCACCCAAAGGAACCACAGCCAGTGATTTCCAGAGACAGTGTAGTGATACTGAGAGGACTGACCTATCACAACTGAAGCTGCCCCAGCTCTGTCACTTATCACGGGGCCTCCTGTGGGACATACAGGGGAAAAGATATGCTCTGATGGAAACCCTGGGCTACATTCACAAGGCTATATCTCAACTTCTGTTGGCTCAGAAGCCAAACTCTCTCTCATCCAGCCAGACAGACATTCACAGTGAAACAAAGGCTGGAGGAGACTTTACACATGGACATGAGGAGAGGGATATTCTACCTGGGGGGTTCCCTAGACAGTCTCATTGTCACAGTGCTGTTATGAAAAAGAGGCATCACAGTGAACCTCTACATCTCCTCCCTGGAGTCTCAGAGGATGTTTTATCTCATTTTCATCACCACAGTCATAACCAGACCCATTTCTCCAGATCTTTTTCATCAGAATCTCAGTCTCTGAATTCTACTACAAGAGAGCACCTGTGTCCTGCTCATGGTTCACATGACTCAAACACTGAAAACTCATTTGACATCTGTGTATCATGTGAGGTGCTGAACAAATCTCGCAAGGTATTGTGGGAAGATGAGCCCCATCTTGGAGCAGAGCATTCTGGGAAAGCTAACCTAACTAACCTCATTAATCCTGCAAAATACATCAATGTGCCTGATGAATGGTACAATATGTCTGCTGATCAAAAATACTCAATGCCTTACGTAACAATGGCTATTCTGAAGGATGAACAGGAGTACATGATGCATGAACTTAAAAGGGGACCAGACAATCTACAGGTGAGCGGTACACACTTACTGAAAGGGGGGGATCTACAGGTACACATTGACAAGGAAACAAAATGATTGATGAGGGAACTTCCTTACATTCATCAATACTCTGTCTTTTGAAACAACTGAATAGAATTCTTATCATTATGCACCGGTAGTTAATACATTCATATTATTCATATGTATGTATTGATTTTTCAAAGTAATTTACTATATAAGACTATAAATCTAAGATGATTTGCTCTGTAAAAAGTATGAGCTCATTAAATGTTGATCATGCTTCAAGAAAATACATTCCGTTTGCCAGATATTTGCATCAATGCATGATACTTTACTTTATATATTAAAAAAAAAAAGTTTTTTAGAGGGCCAACAGTATCTATGAATATTTTTGTAATGAAGTTGCTTTATATTTTAATTGTTATTTTCAGGTCCCATTTCCCAATCCATTAGACTCGGTGAAGCTACTCCTGAACGTCAGTCAGACACAGCTTAAACAAGACGAGGTGAACTGGTTTGCTGAGCGAGTGGTGGCCTGGGCATTAAAATTCTCTGTATCGGCTCAACAGAAGGAAAACCTAATGGATCTTCTACACAGAACACTGACTCATTAACTGTTCAAGTCTTGTTATTGTTGATGTTAGGGTGTCTCATCTCGCAGTATTTGTTCTTTAAAAGAATGTCTTATTCTTTTCTCTAACTTTGTCACAAAGTACATTATTGTGCTATAGTCTTACAAACCTAGAATTTTCTTCCCTGGATTTTTTGATATTCAAAATATGTCCAACTAAGTGAGCATGTTGGTATTTATTAGTGTCTGAAATATATGTCGGCTTAAATTTCTGTCATCAAAATTTGGATATAAGGGAAGTTAATTCTTGTTGTTAAATTTTGTTAATTCCTACCTACATGTATCTGGCCTTTTTATCCTACGTTAGAACTTGCTAGTGCTGTTAAGAATTCTACCATTATGCTTTTCAGCTCAAATTTTGTTAGCAAGTTATTCAGCTGCCTGTACATGTCTCTTAAATGCTATATTACACATAGGTTTCATAACTTGTGCAAATAAGTACCAGTTTTTCTCCAAGTCAGGTTTCCTTTAATAGTAATGGACACAGAGTAAAGGAAAGGGAGTTTGAGAAAACAGTACCTAACAAGCACAGTTTATGGAACCCTTTTTCTCCCTTAACTAAACTTCATAACATATTTGTACTTCATACTGCATGCACCACTAAACAAACCAATATTAAGTAGCACAATGTGATATGTCATGGGCATTTGTTTTAATGTTAGAGAATCAAACAAAAAATAGAGACACTGTATGGAACTGATTAAACATTAAGTGTTATGGGAGAAAATGTTTTATACCTTCAGAACAACGTTGATATTTTTTTCTCAAAAAAAAAGTATGTGCCTGCACAAGACAATTCTTCTTGGATAAATGCTGAACCCTTGTGGTAGAGAAAAGGACCTTGTGAAATTTGAGTTGTGTCATTAAAAAAAATCATATGTACAGTAAGAAAACTCAAAAAATATGATCAAACATTTTTTTTAGGTTCATATAAGAACTATTGTTTATAAGCACTGATATAATAGAAACTCTGTTAAAACTCCCCTAAAGTAAAAAAGGTAGTTAAGATAATAATACAGTATTGTCACCTATTATGTATGTAACCAAGTTCTTCCCCCTCCCATTTATCCCTGTTATCAATGTGAACAAATTTTCTCAGACATAAATGTGCAGTAATCAAGTTTAAAAAGGTATTTTAGTTGATCTTAAGACATTTTTTCTGATGTATACTGATACAAGCTCTGTTATATTTTACCCAGGCATCTATTGTATTCATATGTATTGTTGAATTTTGTGCCATGTACACATGGGTTGCCAAATGTTGGTGTCTTATTCAATGGCAGTGGTCATAGATAAGCCGCAAAGCCTACACAAAATGTTGATAGTACCAGAACCACTCATAAACCTCTTACATTTCAATGTTTCTTGCAAATTAAGTAATATTAAATCAAACAAATTTTAGATAAATTCAGTTTTCATTCTATTCTTTCATAAAGACATTCTGAAATGTATATTTCTGAGATGAATTTATCTCTACTATATGTTGCTATTTATGTGCTACAAAACTATAGTGCTAAACTGGAGGACATTGTTTATTAAACCATTTCTGTTGCTCAACTGTTGATAGTATATTTGTGGTTTCATCATAAATAAATGGATTAAGAAACTTAGTTCATGTTTCCTTTTTTTAATTTTACATGTAACAAAGGAGTTCATCCACACATGACTGTCTATGTATCATCTAATAAGTTATCTAATACAAAAAGCAACATAATTGTTTTATCTTGTTAGCCCACCTTAATGAAGTTTGGAGAGAAAACCCTTAGTGTCTTCACCCCAGGTTAAAGTACTGTAGATCACTAAATTTTCGCGACACCTTATTTTCGCGAGATAATCATTGACTCTTGATAAGCGAGACAAAATTTTCACGAATTGTGGTTATTGCTCTATATAATCTTAAGGAATACTATTATACGCGAGTATCAAATTTTCGCGAGCATACTGTCTCGCGTAATAACGCGAAATAAAAGTTCTCGCGAATAAAAAGTGATTTACAGTATTGGGAGTAGATTTCTTTCGAAGTACTGTACATGTACTCTTACACTCCTTATTGTGTGAATGATGCTTCTAGCATGTTACTTTGTACCTGTCAGATTTCAGATGCTGCATTTTCAGCTTAAGGATGACTAGGTTAAAGTATTATGAGCAGGTTAAAATTTTTGGAGCAGGTTTGAATTCCAAGTAGTTACAAGCCCTATATGTATTGGTAGACCAAATTTGCATGGATGATACATCAAAGAATACATACCAGGCTTGCTTCTGCTGCTGTATTTGGCCTATATTTTTGCTGCTGTATTTGGCCTATATTTTTGCTGCTGTATTTGGCCTATATTTTTTCTCTACAGGTCAGAAAGCAGAAGAGCTTTCATGATGAATTTGTTGTCTGCTGAAATTTTTTTTCGGATTGTTACTCCTCCTACAGTTTTGGTCTAACTCCAGTATACCTTTTGGTACACAATTTGATTAAACAGAGATGCATCAGTTTTTGATTTGATGGGGTTACAAGACATTTCCATGATATTCTTGGAAATGCAAGTAGTATAGGAGTTGTGGATAAGAGATGTGTACCTCAAAGTGGAACAGGTGGCAGACAGAGGGACAGACACCCCTACCACTATATACCCTCCCACTTTTTAAACGGGGGTATAATTAAACCTCAGTGAAAATAAGTGATTTCACAGTATCAGTTTCTGATCTTGATGAATGGCCTTGCAACTCCTACAATTTATTAAACATGACACTATTTAGAGTAAACCAAAGATCATTAATCCCCCCATAGTGATCAGCATGTACATCCATCTGTTTTGCTTTTGGGTAGTCATCTCTTATCCTCAATTCCTCTTTTAACACTGCATGAAATTAAATGAGACTTTTACAGAATCTTTGTTAGATAGTGCCATTGTAACCTCCTATTTTTCTTCTTGATGGGACACATGTTTTGTGGTTCCCAAAGAAAAACATGGACACAGCCATTCTTTCTATAATATTGAAGGGTACCCATCTCTTATCCACAACTCCTCCTATATCACTAAATAAAATTTAATGAGAATTTCACAGATTCTTTACATAATGTCATTGTGCACCACCTCATTTTTTTTACTTTTTGATGTGACATTTATTATGGGTCTCCCAGAGCAAAACATGGACTTTGCCATTATAACCATATGGGAGGTGGGGAGTATCTTTTAGTGAGCTCATTGCTCACAGTAATTCTTAGTCATTTAATATATTGATTTTGCCATAGAAGTCCAAGTGATACCTATTTCTACTTCTTTTAAAACTAATGGAGCTGAAGTCTTGTCAGAGACTTCTGGGTTGAGTAACCAAGTCAATATTTTGGAGCAGGCTAATTTTTAAATAACAATAAAGCTATGGTGGCCAAACTCTCATAGATGATACATCTAAGGAGGTACACCCTCAGACTTGCATCTGATGCTTGTTCTGATCTTTATATTTCCAGATGAGTGATCGGGTTAAAACAAGAACTTAGTCCTGGCTCTGATGCAAAAAAAAAACTTTCATGAATCAAGGGAAAGAAACATGGGAGAAAAGATAAAAAAATAAATCATGAAATTTAAACACAACTCTATTCAAATATTTAATAAAAAATCAAGTAAATATTGTAACACAAAAAATAATACATATATTCAAGAAACTACAACATTGAATTGTTTGAAATAAAATGAGATCCACATTCCTCCAAGACAAAAGAAAAATTCTCTGTACAAAATTCAATTCAACTCATAAACAGTAAAAAAGGCAATTGTATAAACATGTAAACATCTAATTACATACAATAAATGACAGCATGAACTTTAAACTTTAAAAAATCAAATGGAACAGTTTTGTTTTAGTCCAACAATACAAACGTACATGTAATTATAGTCTCTTTGATGGCACATTTAACATATTAACACAGTCAGCTGAACACTTTATAAAATTGTTAATTTAGATTTAGTCTGTTAGCACCAATGTATGCCAGTTGAAGATATTGAAAATCCTGCAAAATTTTAATGCATTTCAAATGTACAATATTTAGTTGGCACTAATATTTGTGAGTATAATCAAAATAACTTTGAGCAGCACATAAGATATGTTTTCTTGAGTAAGTCAGATACATAATAAAAATTTCAAAATCACAGACATATTATTTCCAGTTGATTCTGCAATCCTTTCCCACAAAATCTTGGATCCTTGCCTCACCACTCTAGATTAGTAGGGTAATCCCCAGTGAGACAGGCCACACAGTGCCCTGTGTTTTCCAGCCCGTCCCCTTTGATCCCCTCCACCACTGCCTGCTGAAGTCCCTCCACGGTCAGATATTGTAGACTGTCCGCACCTTTATATGCACATAAAAAAAATCTTAAATAAATATACAGATCAATTGAAAACCATGCCCAAGTACTGGTTATATGGAGAATAAGTGAATATTTGTTATGGTAACTCACCAAAGTACTCTGCAAATTTTTCCTTCTCAATTTTGTTGGCAATCAGTTCCTGTTTGGTTGGGATGTTGATCCCCATATAGCACGGATACTTAATGGGAGGAGAGGCGATTCTAATGTGTACCTATACAAAGAGAAATTTTCATGTTTTAGAATAAAACTGAATAATAGTTAGAAATTAAACCACACTCAAGAACTTTTAAAATACTTAGATCAAATATATTGCTTCATTTGCTGACTTGTGATTTGATGCAATGGAAATATCTTTATTTTAATAGCATATTCTTGTACTGAAAATCAAACTTTTTTTCAAGTCCTTGCAAACATATTTTCTCTAAACTGTGAAGAATTGTCTGGCTTGGTGGACTGCTTCTTAAAGGGAGATAACTCATAACACATAAACTTCCTTATTGTTGGTTTTAATATTGGTCTTATTCCCTATAATCCCTTACCTCTTTGGCTCCTTCTGTCCTCAGTAGATTGACGATGGGGATCATTGTTACCCCCCGCACGATTGAGTCATCCACCAGGACTATCCTCCTCCCCCTAATGTTCTCACTCAGTGGACCAAACTTTTTAGTGACCCCCATCTTCCTCAGCCTCATGTTGGGTTGGATGAATGTTCTCCCAACGTAACGATTCTTGCAAAATACCTCCCCATAAGGAATTCCAAGCTAAAATTCAGAAAAATAAAAATATAAGATGGATGGCTTATTAAATTAATTATCTAATTAATGAATGTTTTTTTTTTTTGCAGAATAATTTTTTTTTTTCAGTTGAAGTTAATTACCAGTATAAAAATGTTGTTTGTATACCTGAGCAGCATATGCCAGGGCCGCTGGAGTGGCAGAGTCAGGGACAGTACTGACCAAGTCAACCTCCACCGGGGCCTCCTTGGCCAGTCGTCTACCACAGCGCTGACGGACACTGTACACCATCTGTCCTGAAATCAAAACAAGAACAATTGACTTCTCTGAATTCACATGATTCTCAAAATGAAAATAGAAAAAATACATGTACCATATATCACTGACTTCTGAAAAGGTATTCAAAGTTTATTATTGTTTTAATATAATTTAATATCAGACTTTAATAAACATCTAACCTTCCATGACACTGTCTGGTCTAGCAAAGTAGACATATTCAAAGATACAGGTGGCGGGCGGCTTATTGTTTGGTCTGGGTGCCATGTACACTGATTTTATTCCTGTCTTACTCAGTTCTACCACCTCTCCTAAAAAACAAAGAAATTCTTGGGTTTTGTTACTAAATCTGGAAAAACAATACTGTTAATTGATTGTCTTACACTAAAAGATATCATACCTGGTAGAACTTCTCTGAAGTATTTGGCCCCTATGCTGTTGAAGGAACAAGATTCAGAAGATACAATCCAGCCATCTATCATCTCATCTTTCTTGGAATTGTCTGCAACAAAGGACACATAACCTTAATGCAAAAGCCATTTCTGGTATGTTTTTCCTTTGAAATTTCATGAGACCTCTGGCATGATCAGAATTACCTGTGATGGTACCTGCAGACACCTTCATCCCTACCTTTAATGGATCCCACAGACAATAGCTTCCCCAGGCAGAGGGGGCGGTTCCCAAATGGATCTCTGACTGCATATATTTTATCATCATGCATGATAACCAGGGAATATGATATTACAGTCTCCTCCATTATTTTCTTGATTCTAAAAAATATAAGAATTATATTAAAAAAAAAACAAAATTAAAAAAAATGCATGTATCTTTGTATTTTCGAATTGACAGAGTTATTCCCCTTTTAGTCTGATCATACCTTCCAATCCAGTTGGCTCCGTTAGGTTCCCCACACTCTGGGGTATGTGTCAGAAGTTGTGTTATCAACTCACTGTCTGTTCCCGTGGAGAGTCCCACCCCATGCTTCAGTAACTAAATAACAAGACAATTATGTTACATGAAAAAATAAAAACAAAAAACTGAGTATGGTTTACCATAAAGTTCAATTATCCTTTTTTTAAATTGATTTTGAAATTCTCACATAGTTGAAATATTTTCATTTTTTGATATCATACAAGAAAATTAAGACAACCTTTTGTTTTAGTTTCTTGGCATTAACTAGTTCTCCATTGTGAGCCACAGCTATCAATCCATGTATGGTTTCCACAACAAACGGCTGAACATTAATGGTGTCAGATTCTCCCTGAGTGGAATAGCGGGTGTGACCTAAATTAAATGTCCTTAATTAAAAATTAAAAACATTCAGTTGTCTGAAGACTTCAACTTTTACTTTTATCTTTAAAAAAAAATTGAAATGATATCGATACTGCATGAATGCATATGTAATTTTATGTATGTACTTGATCATCTTATTATAGAGTAAATCATTGGCTTGTAAAAAAAAAATACACATTTATCTCATAAAAGTGAAATGAAGAGAGACTAGTAAAAAATATTAAAACATGTCTTCAATTAATTATATGAATTTATATAACAGCTAGATTTTATGACACAAGAATTTTTAGAATCAACTAAAGCAATGCTTATAATATTAGGAGAAATTCCTCTACTGAACAGAAAAGTGAATACTTTTATTAACAAAACATTGACTGCATATTTTTACCGATTCCTATGTTGCCTTTGAGTTTATGGAGATCTTCCTCTGAGAATACATTGCTGACCAGCCCCATGCCCTTCTTTATACTGTATCTACAGTCATTGGTACCCACACTGGTCACAATGCCTGCACTCTCCTGTCCCCTAGAAAATTCACATCAACCCAAAAAAACTATCAATTTTATTGGTGCACTAGAAGGTTCTATAGAATAGGGACGGGAGGGTTGAGCTTGAGTAAAATGCATGAAATGCTTTTTTGAGGAGTGCTTATGGTTAAATGATCATTGATTGACATAAGCAAAGTCTAACCTGTGCTGTAGCCCCACTAGTCCTAAGTATATGGTATGTGCTATGTCTAGCTGGGTAGGCCAGTTCCCCTGCGCCACACAACCAAATACCCCACATGCTTCTCGCAGTCCTGTGTCATCCTGTGTACTCAGGTGATCAACCATACCTAAAATTTTGTATGAAATTTGTTAGAATTGTTTAAAGCAATATCTGACACGGACAGTGAGACTGATTTCAAAAGCTTTGAAATTTTGTACATTTAAAAAAAAAAGGTATGACTATACATTTATATAAAATATAGAAATATAAACTACTATTCATCAGTTCATACATGTCCTGAGGGGTATCTAATCTCAAACAACATTGGGACTTTTTGGGATCCGCACCTCTATTTCACTATAGCGGTACACGTGGTTGTCTTGAGTGACCCTGATACAGAGGTTGGTTTCAAACAAAGTAAATATAGAAAACTATATCAAAGAATAATATATGAAAGATACTTACCTGCCATTTTAGCGATATTCTCTATTGATCACAGGATATAAGAGTTGAGATCCACAAAATCCTGAAAGTAAATTAAAAGGGATTTTTATGATATTTAATCAAAAATCGCTTTCTCGATCGCATTTGTTATTTGCTATATTTTGGCAAGCAAACAAACAAAAAATAGTATAGTCAGAGATTTCTCAGGGTCATGTATATTCAGTTTACTCACTTATCAATGTTAATAAAATCACACATGGCCTGTTTTTTAAATTATCCCGGAGAATCTAAAAATAGTTAAACACGTGTTCACGAGCCGTGAAAAAAGCACCGCGAGTCGACAAACACGTGGAGTTTCTTTCAGCAATATTCTTGAAAGAAAACGGAGAAAATGACAGAAAAAGGTAACGTTAGGTATTTTTAAAATTCAGATAATAATTTTTATCATCAAAGTTATATATAACAAACTTACCTCTTACAGAGAAAGAAATGTTGACGGGTTTGAACTGTCGGATGCGAGTGGGTGCTTTTTATAATTTAATTGGTCGGGCAGCAAAAGTTCATTCAGTGTCAACTGTAGTTTGACACTTAATTTTCCTAACTCATTTTGTGATGCCTTAGTTAATTGGTGTCAAGGTTGAAAAGTTCCAGGTGAGAAAATTAAAAAAAATTAGCATAGGTTTACACATCATTCAGTGCTTTGCATTGCTTCTTGATATTTGGGTCCCCATTAAAACTTACTTTTGAGAGTTTGGCCCACACTAAAAAAATCTAAATTAAGAGAAAAAAATAGCTATGGTCAGATTAATATTGTATAATAAAGGTCAAGGATGTATTGTACATGTCAAGGTCACAAGGATATATTGCAGGGATAGTATACCTTACCAACTATCATTATATTTATTCAGTAAAATGATAGGGGATATCATGTGAAGCAAAGGTGTTCGAGTGGAAACATAGAGGAAGGCAGAGCTGAGTTCGGTTGTCCCTACGACAGGGGAGCAGGGATTTTCCCCGCCTATAGTGATATAAACCCCCCCCCCTTATTTTTTTGTATTCTCCATTTAATCCTCTATTAGGAAAGGAACATCAACCCCCCTTGTATTTTGTAAATGCCCCCTGCTATAGGGACAACCCTGGCTTATGAGACAGGATGAGTTACGGGGTGTAGGAGAAGAAGGCAGGGGCAAGGAAAACAAGTTTGCTGGATGTAAGCAGTAGTTGGGATAGAGAGAAAAAAAAATGTCAAAAGAATGGAAGAAGGGAAGGGAGTTTGGAAACATTAAGTTAACTATTGCTATTGTAGGTTTATCTTGATTATTTTTTTCACAGAAGTTAAACTAGGACCAGTGGTGATTGAGGGTAAGACCAAGGTGGTGTACCAGGCGGCGGACGACCCAGAACTGGTGGTGCTACAGTCCAAGGACCGCATCACGGCGGGGGATGGGGACCGCTCCCACGACCTGAAAGGGAAGGCTGCGATCTCCACAGATACAACAACCGCCATCTTTGAGTTACTGAATGCTGCAGGTACTGTTTGCAGTCATTTATAATCTTGAAAAGAGCACAGAGTATGTGTATTACCTATTTAATCATATGTCTGGTCATTGAAATGAATATTATACCTGGTTTAATTGTTGATATTATGATGTCATAATGGAATGGCACTTTTGAGCATTACTATCTAACCTTCATATTAATCTTTCTTCAATTCTTTGAATGTTTGAAAAAAAATCACCAAAGAATAAATGAAACAATTACTGACTTGCATATTTTGTTCAGTATATTTGTGTAGGTACTCTTAAAGAACTAAATTCATCTCATTCTTAATGTTACTTGACAAGAAATGTAATTATAGGTATAAAAACTCATTTTGTGAGGCGCCAGGGAGAGACGGCATTCATTGGATACAAGTGTGAGATGATTCCCATAGAATGGGTCACAAGGAGGATTGCAACTGGGTCATTCCTGAAGAGAAACCAAGGGGTCAAAGAGGGATTTAGGTTCTGTCCCCCTAAACAAGAGACCTTCTTTAAGGTACCAGTATAATGCATACTGCCTCTGTGTTCTCTTCTAAGGTGAACTAGTAGAAGGAAGATCTTTTTGGATGAAAATTGATTTCAAAAAATTTTTATGTATATTGAAAATCTTTTAGATCTGAGCATAACCAGATGCTCTAGAAAATTATGAAATACAGATTCATTTGCACCAGAGAGTGCAGATCTATCTGTGTTTTGATAAAAGTAATGGATACAGATATATGCAGTGATGACCCTTTTCACCAGTTTTACCATGTTAGAACATAAAGTAGCAATGCCTTGTAGTTTTTTTTTAAAGCATACAGAAGTGAATTTTGTCTATTTATCTCAGGATGATGAGAACCACGACCCCCAGTGGTCGTACGAGCAGTGCCTCGCCGCTCAGATTAAGGTAGGAGGCGTTCTGATTGGTCGGGATGAGCTGGACATCATGAGCCGGACAACAGTAACGGTGTTTGAAATCCTGGAGAGGAGCTGGGCTTCATTGGACTGCAGCTTAATCGACATGAAAATAGAATTTGGAGTTAAACCCAGCACAGGTTACTGTATACAGGGTTATTTTTGCCCCACATTATTTTCGCCCTTTCACAAATGGAAACAAGTTTGCCCCATTTTAAATTCGACCAGAAAGATTTTTGTTTAAGATATTATACTGTTTACTTTGAATTCGTCCCATTTTAAATTTGCCCACTTCCGACGAGGACGAAAGTGGTGAAATTTACACGGCGGCTAAAATTTCCATGTATACAGTATTGTGTAGATATATACATTGTAACATGTCAATATTATTCATTCAGGGTAGTACAAGTTTCACAGTTATTGCATACAGATCAGTGAACTGTAAATCAAAAAATTCAGAAAAGTGTTTGAACTCCTGCATGAGTTTCTTATGTAAAAAGGAAAATAATTTGAGCATCCTTTATATCCCTTCATATTGAGAAAGTTGTTTTTATGCACCTAGATTGATAGTTTGGGTGGGGGCATATTGTTTTTGTCCTGTCTGTCTGTTTGTCAACTTTAACCTTCCCCATAACTTCTGAACCATGAGAGATAGAGATGTCATATTTGGTATGCTTACTCCTCTAATTAAGCTCTTCCAATTAACATCAAGGTCAATGACCTTTTGACCTTGACCTATATGCTAAAAATAGCCTTTTTGAACCTTCGCTATAACTTATGGAGACTTCATATTTTGTATGCATACTCCACTAATTAAGTTCTTTCAAAAGACACCAAGGTCATTGACCATATGCATGTGACCTTACTGTGACCTATATGCTAAAAATAGCTTTTTCAAACTTATAGTGTTTCACAAACACATCTTGTTTTAATTCTGTTTTCTTGCAAGAAAGTCAGAAAGAAAAATTCTGGAATATTTATGTGATTTTTTTTAATTTAAGGGGAGATCCTACTGGCTGATGTGATAGACAGTGATTCTTGGCGTCTGTGGCCATCAGGAGACAAGCGTCTGATGAAGGATAAGCAGGTCTACAGAGAACTAAAGGAAGTGACTGCAGATGCCCTGGACATGGTCAAGAGGAACTTTGAATGGGTGGCTGTTAGGGTCAAGGTAATAATATTAGTGGTTCAGTCAAGGGTGTATGGGAATTTACCTCGGGTTATATTACATACACTCTGAGGCCAAAGGCATATGGAATACAACCTTGGGTAAAGCCTCAGGGTGTATGGAATAAAACCTGGGGTAAATCCCCATATACCCTTGATTGTTCCTGGATAAGGAATTTATTTCCTATGTACATGTACCCATAAAAAAAATCTTTGTAAACATTAGAGTCTAATCACCTGTGTCTCAATCTATTGATAAGATAACTACGTACTACAATGCATCGTGACGTCATGTTACATGTCTTTGGTTTTTATCATAGAGAAAGTATGCATTGTGTCACGTTTTTTTTACCCCTGGCACAAGTCAGGTGCACGGAAATTTACACCTGACTCTGTAACCAATCAATGCTTGTGTTGCAAGCTACATAGGAAGTAAGAATAATAATTAACCCCTCTCCCATGACAGGCCTTCATCACAGTTTACTATGCCCTTTACAGTTGTAATGTAGCAGAATTGAGCTGACCTACTCTGTTGGTACCGGTAATAATTTTGAATGGCAATGATATTGTTATTAGAATAAGTTACATTTTAAAACAAGAAGCTAGAAACATTATGGTGTTTTGGATTAGTGATGGAACATAACCTGGTAGACATAAGGCTCATAAGCCACACCACTCACCTCAAGCTGTCTAAATGAGGCTCCACTGTATTCCTCAGTAAAATAACTCATTAAAAGTCAAAAGAATTGTGAGATATCAAAAAAAAAAAAAAAAAACAAGCTTAAACGGAACAAAGAAGCAAGTCTGAAAATTTTGGCCTGGGATCTAAAGATTTATTTTTCTGTGTCTTACTGTTTGTAATATAATTCATATTATCATCTCATGGTCTAAATACTTAGTCTTTTTGATGGAATGATGGAGATTTTTAGAGGTATAACATAACATTCAGAACATTTCCCCCCAAAGTTTCAAAGTTGATTTGGCTTCTCTTCATTGTTTAATTGTAAAAGTCCTTCTTTCCCCTCAAAAAGCTGCTGTCCCCCAAACCCCAGGCCAGAGCCGTGGTTCTGATGGGGTCCTCCTCAGACATGGCCCATAGTGAGAAGATCAGGATGAACTGCCAGACACTGGGCGTGCCCTGTGAACTGAGGGTGACCTCCGCCCACAAAGGCACTGAGGAGACAATGAAAATCCTGGCTGAGTATGAAGGTATTCAAAGTTCTTTTGTTAGAGTTGTTTTCCACCATAATTAGGCCTAGAAAAAAAATATGTTTGTTTCCGCTTTCCCGACCGACCCTAATTTATAGTGCCGACCCTAAATATTTTTTTAATGCTTTTGTCCCATGATGTGCAAGATTTCAACCAGGGAATTATAGCCTCCAACTTTGCAAGCTTTTCAAGACAGAAAGAAGTTTGGGTCACTTTTCTATTATAAGTTAAGTCACAGTAATGCTTGAAAACACCATTTCTTTTGTCATTAATGTTACTTCTATACACGTTTTGATTAAAGAAGCAAAAAATTTAAAAAAAAAAAAAAAAAAAATTGCCTACCTACCTACCCTATATTTTTTCAGCCTGAAAGCGAAAACAAACATATTTTTTTTCTAGGCCTTATTTGAATGTTTTTTTATTATACGAGGGCTGTTCGGAAATTATTGAGACATTGTGTATATTTTGCTTTCTAATTAACGTCTTTCGGTGAAAATTTGAATATACGTTTGACATACATTAAGAATTAATAAAAGCAAAAAATATTTTACAGATATTAAATATTTTCTGTACAATGATATATAAATGCGTCATCAGTAGGGGTACCCGGAGCAGTCTCAAAATAAGATATTGAAAATATGTAACACCAACCTTCTAACTCTTTGTGGACTCATAATAAGAGCGAAATATATCTGTCTATGTGTATAATTTTTCAGCTTTAATTCAAATTCATGTTGTGTAACTTTGATAGAATTTTGATCAGGAATACGGAGACCATAAAACATTATGCGTGGTAGAGAAATCTGCTAAAAACGAAAAAATGGATTTTGACGTCATGGGCGGAGCAGCGAACATACCTAAAATTTTGTGTAGCGCAATGTAAAACTCTTTTCCAGACACAACGACCTGCTAAAACAATAAATACGAGAAAAAAATAATGTGTTAGGGTTTGTTATTTCATAGGTATACATTTTTTTTTACAATTAATTCAACCAGAGTAAAATCAAAAGCTCCGGACCACCATCAGTTATTACGTATGGTATTAATATCGTTACGGAATCAATTATCGTTGACCCGCGCTGCATAAATCGGCACTGCATGATTTTAAGTCATCTTTTCCCACATATGAAAATATTACACTCGGGTAGCAACAGCATGCATTTTTAAGGAATAGTTCAAGAAAAGAGACTGTTTGATTTTTGTAATATGTTATATGTAATAACAAAGAAGGAAAAAGATTAAACGCTTCCCGATCGTTTTACATATGAAACCATCCCTGCATGGCTGACGTGACGTTAAAATTACGTAGTGATGCTGCTCCGGGTCGATAGACATATGCATGTTTATTATTTCACCGAAACTTTTTTTATTGTCATAGAAATAAGAAATTTTGCTTTAGGCCTAGAAAAAAAAAGTGTTCTTATTCGTTCTAGTCTCCAACTTTGCAAGCTTTTCAAGACAGAAAGAAGTTTGGATAACCTTTCTATTATAGGTTTTAACTCACAGAAATGCTTGAAAACACCATTTCTTTTGTCATTATTCATTAATGTTACTACTATACACGTTTTGATTAAAGAAGCAAAAAAAAAAAAAAATTTAAAAAAAAAAAAATTGCCTACCTACCTACCCCATATTTTTTCAGCCCGAAAGCAGAAACAAACATATTTTTTTTCTAGGCCTTATAAAATGTTGATGAATTTTCCTGAAATTATCTCCATCCTTTATGGAGTAAATGTAATTGTCTCAATAATTTCTGAACAGCCCTCGTACAGATTTGCAGCCAAGAACTTGTGCTTTTTTGTTCCCCTTTTTTGTCAATTTTAATGTATAAAAATAATCAGCACAAAGTGCCCCCTGTAATTGATTTTCAACTCCAAAAACATAATTAATATTTATAGGCTTTTCAGAAAATGATTGTAGTTATTAATAACCAACATTTAGAGATCTTAATTTTTTCATCTGGACTATTTTTCTGTTTCAGGTGAAGGAATACCCACTGTGTTTATAGCAGTTGCAGGCAGAAGTAATGGTCTGGGTCCAGTTCTCTCAGGAAACGCCACGTGGCCAGTCATCAACTGTCCCCCTCTGTCCGGGGACTGGGGATCACATGACATCTGGTCATCTCTCAGGTTACCCTCAGGTAAGCAACTTGGTTTGTAAAATCACATTAAGGAGGGGTCTAATTTTAGTGGTTTAAAGAAAAAATATACAGGTTCTGTGTCATATTTACAAATAAGTTTGTTTACAGGGCTGGGCTGCAGCACAGTGATGTTCCCAGAGGGCGCTGCTTTGTGTGCTGCACAGATTCTCTCCCTTAGTGATCATGTCATCTGGAGTAAGATCCGGGCCAAGCAACTTAACACCTGGATTGGTCTCAAAGAAGCAGATAAAAAGTCCAGGAATGATAAGTGATTCTTGACAAGACATAAATTCTTTCACTCAGAACCTTTTTTCCTGTTCATATTATGCATGAAATTTCAGGTACAACTCATGTAGACCATGTTCATGCAGATGAAAAATATTAATCTCATGTTTCATTCAGAAGTTTGTATACATTAAAGTGCCATTTGTTATTTTTTTCAGTCTTTACCAAGTTTATGTTTCTAAGATTTGTTTAGGTTTAACAGAGGCATTAAACTGACATATCTTTAATAAATGATACATACTGAATTTTTATTTGTTCTCTCTTTTTTATATGTTTATATAATTAATTACATGTACATGAATGAGATAGAATGAGATATAATGGATGGTACAAGTTTTTTGTTCCTTTAAAAAAAATGTTAACAAAAACATCTCTTAGTCTGCATATCCATGAGACTCCTTGCCTCGACATTTAAAATGTATTCTATGGGTTCTACGATAGTGACGATTCAGGTCCTTCTTCATACCAAACATTGATCCACAAATAGTGCATTCAAATATTTTACAGTGCACTCTCTTAGTATGATCCTCAACTTGCTGCTTTTTTAGAGAACTGAAATTACAAATGGCACACTTGAATTGACCCCCTTCTATTAGCTCTGGATTACTAGGCTTTTTGTGGAATGTTGCTTTATTCCAAGGCTCTGAATGGATAGAAAAGGAATTGTAATGATTTTCATTAGCTTGACTGGCTGTAAATTCAACTGGTTCAGCTTTCACAAATATTTTTTCTGTATCAATATTACTAGATGAAAGATTTCCCTCTTCTTGATGTGATGTTTTATTGCCTTCAAATTCAGAATTACATTGTTCTTTATCTAAAACAGATGGATGGTATTTATTAAATATTTCTGCACCAGCAATATTTATGCCCCTTTTATGATTCGGATTAGACTCTATGGTATTGAGTGTATTTTGTTCTGTATCTTTTCCGACAAATGTGGAACTGTCAGTGTCATCTTTGCTGGCATTTTCAGGAAGATTTGCATAATTAATTGAACTTGCCTCCTGTTGACTTGTGTCATCCAAATTTAAAAACCGCAAATCTTTCAGCTTTAGTCTTCTTTCTCCACAATGTCTTTTGTAATCCTTTCCATAGCTGGAGCAATTGCGTTTGTTGTTGTGGTGTCGGCGGAGATCTTTACGTAATCCAAAACCTCTGCCACAATTTCCACATTTATATGGACGAATGTGTGTGCGAATTTTATGCACCACTAGGTTGTGTCTCTTGTGTCCAAAGTAACTGCATATGTCGCAGTTGTATACAACGCGACCTTCGTCATCATACTGTGGTTTAACTTTGCCAAGCTCTGCTTTATAGTGAGGATCTAAGTCAAAAGATTCATCTCCCTCCTCAAAGTGCATGTAGTCTTTTTGAAAAACTTCACCATTCATGTTGAAGCCCGAGGGTGCTGAAGCAAAGCTGACATGGGTCTCGGTTGCACTGGGCGAGGTTCGTCTTTCACTCTTGTCAAAATCCGTGCTGGTTAAGAGAGAAGTTTTCTCCGATTTGTCAGAAAAGGCCATTGGGGTACTCAATGATTTAAGTAAAAGGTAAGCTGCAAGAACATCGTGTGCCTTTTTCACGGACTCCCACGAACCCAGTAACTTATCACCGTCGTCTTCTTGAACGTATACAACACCGACACAGTCACATATTCTTTGGAACATTGCATCATTTGGAAAATTGTAGAACTCCTCGCGAAATTTCGGGGAAAATACTGCGTAAGTTTGATCAAAAATCGTCATTTTTCAATTTTTTGGCTTGTCAATCGTAAATTCGGAAGTCGACGGGATAACAGATGCTGGATAGTTCGTTCATTGAACTAACAAGATGGAATGGTTAGTCGTACGGATAATGATTCGATGGCAGCGGGAAAAGTATACAATTACATGTGGGTATACAAGTACCATATACACGTAACTTTAAACGTTTTAAGATTAAGATAATGTAAAAAGTGGATAACGAAAATAATTTAACTTCGGAGGGTAATAAAAATTTAAGGGGGGGGGGGGGGTTAAAATTAAATTTATTTAGCATTTCGGTGATTGGGGGTAGGGGGTTCCATGACATCAGCCGAAACATTGTGGTCAAGCTAAGAATTTCATGAAGGACTGATTGAGCAACTACTCCAGTAAATGTAATATTAGCTATATTTGAGCAATCCCAAACTGCTTTGTGAATTTTCAATATTTCAGTTGCGATGTACAAAACTATCACCTGCTCACTGTGACATTCTTTTGGACCAATGTATCTGAATCCTGAAAGCATATTATCTGACAGGGCTTGGCAATTTCTACACATGAGGATGGATAACGTACATTTTCAGGTTGGTTAAAATTAGGGAATGAAAGGTATTTGATTGACCAATGCTGGAAGGTTGAGAAATTCTCCTCAACCCTGCACAGAAAATCTTTTGCAAGAAAGTACATGATTTTTACGAGATCTGTAGCATAAATGGTCAAAGAGCTAGACTAAAATATAAAACAATAAAGCTACAGTTCTGTAGCTATAATTTACTTAATTAGCTTGTCAAAAAATTCTTTAATTGTTTAGAGGAAAATTTAACCTCTCAACATAACCAAGATTTCAGCTTCTGAATAGCTGAGTATAAAAAGGGCCTTTTGTGAATTAGCCTCACACACCTTAGATAATATTGAATTTCTAGAACATCAAATAGAACTGTGGCGTGTGGATTAAATACACAATTAAAGCAATAAAAATGCATGAAACACTTGGTTGGCAAAAAAAAAAAAATTCTAGAGCTCTATATGTCATGTAACAATCACATTTTAACTGTCAATTTACATGATATGTTTCAATGACTCTGGTGGAAATTCTTATCCGGTTAATCAATTGATGGTGGACTTCTATTTCCTCGTGTCTTATTGATCAACAGAAATAGCCATGTATCTTTGACAGTAATGATGCACAAATTTAAATAGGTCCATCCATCACATGGCCACCAATAAAAAGATACATTTCTAAGATTGTGGCCAATTTCTCAGCATTTTCTCGATCTTTGTGTTTTATGTTGTAGAAATTCCCGGAGGAGGGATCCATCATCAGCTAAGTGTAGAAGGAGGAGAGGGGGATCGTTGAGGGGTCTCGGTGGACCTGATGGAAGAGACTTGTACTTAATCAGAGTTTATAGGTATACATCTCTCCCTGATCTACACCAGCATTCGTCTCTATCTCTAGTATAATGACTGATTTCTATCTTACCAGCGTAAGGTATTCAGATTTTATTTCTGACTACATGATTTGCCATTAAAATCCATCTTACATGACACTGCACTGATTTTTCTGATTGCTGTAGGGTTTAATACTGGTGAGGATATGAACAGACAATACGGAGATGAAACGTCACAACCAGATTTTTTCCTTAGGCATGGTGAGTACCTTAAATGTACGAATAAATAATTTACTATAAAGATATTAATAGATTAATGTCATAAATTGACATATGTAGCTGCATTGTCATACCTTTAAAATTAGTTTCCTATGTAAAGTCTTACATTTCTTTTGTTTTATGAGCAATCTAAGGTTATGTGGACTGCTGAGTAAGAAAATGGACCTGTTAAGGAGATAGTATAGCTTTTATTATATTTTATTTTACATCACAATGTAGGCAGGATCAGCTATACCTTAACCAATTGTTACAAACATGGAAACCAGAACACGAAAAAATTGTATATAAAACTAAAGAACTCGTCGACTGAGTTTGAGAGCAACATGCAAAGGCCTCAGGCATATAGTTTGGTTCTTGAGTCCAACAAATTGCATGTTTCCTATAAACTGGTCAATGAATGTATCTATCTGAAGTAAAAATGTATTATCTATAGATTATAAATTGTTGTATTTAGCACAATGAAAAGAAAGATTTATAACTTTATTATTGAGTGTGTGATCTAGAAAACCAGACATATAATGCCCTTAAGCAACATAGGCATCGGAGCCGGGGGGCTAGGGGGGCTTAGACCCCTCACTTATTTTTCAAAGGTAGGCATAATATCAGCATTGAAAATGCATGAAACACTTGTTTGGCAAAAAAAAACCCATACTAGAGCTCTATATGTCATGTAGCAATCACATTTTAACTGTCAATTCACATGATGTGTTTCAATGACTCCCCCCCCCCGTTTCAATTAGCCACCCATCTTTGAATTTGCTTCCGACTCCTCTTGCTCATAAAGTAAAGGATATAAATAAAAAAAGTAAATGTGTAATGGGTTGGGTCATGAATATTGGCCAGTGTATCTCAATAGAATACCTGAGTAGGGATGCTGAGGGGTACTGGGTATGATTTGAAGACGGTGAGACCAGTCATACTTTTTCTCTTGTAACACACTTTAGTGCCATCAACTATCCCTGGACTTGCTAGTGAAAGTCCAGCCAGGGGAAGTAAGAACTTGTGTTGTGTCTTTGAGGGCAAAGAAAATTTCTGGAAGGAGAAATTGTAATGGTTTTGGGCATGGCTATTTGCCTGGATAGCTTAGTTGGTAAAGCACCAGAGTAGAGATGCAGGGGTCCTGATTTTGATTCCTGGTCCAGCCCTACAATTTCTCCTTTCCTGTAACAAATTACCCGGTAATGTAAATACTGTAAATGTATTATATTTAGTGTGTACGATATTTGGCGGAAATTGACTTTTGAATAAGTTAGTGTGTATTTGATTTAGCTCATTTCTTCATTTTCTTATTTAATATATGTGTATATGTGGAAGACATTTAGCGTTGTACTTGATTTAGCGGTAGTTGCGTTCCGCCCAAGCCGTTAAAAAGAATACACAGCCAAATGTAGTACGTTTACAGTAGTTGAACTTAAGTAATCAGAACATCCCATGAGGGATCTTTATCGTACGTTCAACACCTTCTGTGACATGGGGGCATCAGTTTTCAAGTCTTGTATGAAGGACCTGCAAATTTCACTCCATAGTCTCAGCACAATTGTTGAGGGAACAAATGCTACCTATTTTTTTTATCAACTTAGGCCATGCAGTTACAACTGTGATTTGAACCCACGACATTCCAATCACTGAGCCAGCATTTAAACAACCAAGCTTCCATGATGGTGATGCTATGAATAGAATTAGAATTTACATTTATATCTACACCATATTATACATGTAATTCAATAAAATCATAATGAAGTGCCATCAAAGGATGCTTTTGCTTCATTACAAACATAATTCATCAGATTAGGTTAACAATAATATGTTTTTAAGCCATGGAGAATAAAAATCACTGCTATAGGAGTCAATTCATTATAAGCCTGTTTGCTCTTAGCGTGTTCTACTGTCATTACTAAAGGAACAACTCAGCTATCAAGCGTCCTGATTAACAAGACTTGACTGTAAATGGCTCTCATTTGTAGAAATGTAAAGGGATTTGTCCACTGATGTTTTCCATATCGAATGAAATCTTTGAACTAGGAATGTCACAAAGTAGCATTTCTGTTTGCAATCATTCTGGGCAGGAGAATACTGTTCAGAAAAAAAAAATTAAGCTTGTTTTTAATGAATTGTTTTAAATGTGAACTTGTTTCAAGAGAATTTTCTAAAGCTTATGAATGTACAGAAATTTGAGGGCATTATTTAAATGCAAATTACAAAGGAAGGTTAAGACTAGATATACATAAATCCAGACTCCTTACTAAACCTGATATATTATGATTTTTAGATGGAAACCTTTTTTTTTTTGAGCGTATACCTGTTTTATGTGAAGGTAATTTTTTGGACATTTACCTGTACGGTACCTATATAAAGGTCATGTTCTGGGAGATATTTCTCATCACAATCTTCATGCTAAGGTATTGTTGCAGTGGGCATTTAGAACAAGTTGTCTCTCTTGTAATATTTTTTGCCCTTTTGGCTGCTGTTGAGATTATGGCTTTACATTGATATGAAATGTGGGTGCTGTAACTCTTATAAAGTGACATTGATGGAAGATGTTGATGTTCAAGCTGTCAATATTTAGTAAACGCCATTCTCTTGAGAATGGTCTCGTTAGGTCCTTGGAGTTTGATTGTTAACTTAATTGTCTATTGTGGAAGCCAGAGAGTGCTGCCTGTTTGCCCGCTAAGTATTCCAATAAATCCTGGTCAATTGTTGTTGGTTAGGGTCTTGTAGAAGTATTTTAGTCAAGTGGGCAATAAATGCTGACTCAAAGTTTTATGGAAATGATAAATTTACTGACAACCATTTTAAGCCTATTCTCCCAAAATTGCTTCACATTAATTGGTATAGAGACGGAAAAAAAATTGTGAGCATCACCACAAAATCAATAGTGAATGTTTATAATTTGGAGAGAGGGGTGGGAATGGGTTATTCATTTAAATTTTCTTGAGTAGTCAATCAAATGCTTCAAAGCTGCATCCTTATAATTTTTGTAATTTTGGGGTCTTGGGTATATATTGGTCTGGGTAGCTCAGTTGGTAGAGCACATGACTAGTGATGTAGGTGCTTAATTAAAAGACATTTCCATTGTCCAGCCATACATTTTTCCCTTTCCTATTACATGTATTAAACTTAATCTTTGATTAACAAAGAAAAGATTTGGGATGTATGAAATTCATTATTACTTTTTACATACATGTTTCTCCCTTTCCTATTACTCCATCTCCCGCCTGATTTATTCAGAAAACCGCTTTTTACAAAATCTAAAGTATTTTTGGTTCGCTTGGGTATCCATTTTTGAAGCCACTCTCATAAAATCTCGCTAGATATCGCGTGATTTGACACGGAATC